ACACTATGGGTAATTTAGCATGGCCAATCCACCTAACCTACACATCCTGGCACACAATGGATAATTTAGCATGGTCAATCCATCTAACTTGCACGCCTTTGAACTGACATCACTGTCATCGTTAGCATATATGCTTCTGATATTAACCAGGAAAAATAAGGACTTGTGGATTCAGGGGGAATGTTAGCATGGATACAGAATTGATTAACATATGGGAAGCAGAGAGTGGCCGTGAGCAGGGCATTTTTCAGTTGGCAGGCTATGAGCAGGAGTTGCCATGAGCATCAGTGCTGGTGCTCGAGCTACTTTACAATCTATATTAATGACTGAACAGATAGAGTAAATTATATAACAACTGAAAGAACAATGGATGCTGTAAATCAGAAACAAAAACAGAAATTGCTGGAAAAGCTCAGCAGGGTCTGGCAGTTTCTGTGGAGAGAAATCAGTCTTAACCTTTCAGGTTGAGTGACCCTTCCTCAGAACATTTCTATGTTTGTAGATGAAATTGTATCAAGTTTGCTGATGATACAAATCTTGATGGGAAAGACAGTCAGTGTCAAGGATATAGAGCGATTAAGTGGGTGGGGAGCAAAAAAGCAGATGGAGTATGAATATGTAGAACTGTGAATGTTTTTTAAAATGTGTGAAATGTGAACGTGTTCAGAGATTAAAAGGAAGATACAAAGTCACAATGCAAGAACAGGAAGCGAATTCTTGTGGCAAAATGGGAGTATACCTGTCTGTGAGACAGGAGGCATAGGTTCAAGTCCCACCTGCTGTAGAGGTTATAGTCATAGTTGTAGAGTCATACAACAGGGAAACGGATGCTTCGGTCCAACCAGTCCATGCCAAACGTAATCCCAAACTAAACTAATCCTACCTGCCTGCTCCTGGCCATATCCCTAGAAACCTTTCCTATTCATGTACTTTTCCAAATGCCTTTTAAATGTTGTCATTGCATCCACGTCCTCCACTTCCTCAGGAAGTTCATTACACACACGAACCACCCTCTGTGTAAAAAAATTTGCCACCCATGTCTTCTTTAAATCTCTTTCCTCTCACCTTAAAAATGTGTCCCCTGGCCTTGAAATCCTTCATCCTATGGAAAGGACAACTACCATTAATTTTATCTATGCCCCTCTTTATTTTATAAACTTCGGTCAGGTTGCATCTCGGCTCCCTATGCTCCAATGAGAAAATGTGCAATAATATCACTGAGCAAATTGATTTAGAAAATATCTGCAAGCCCAGGAAGAAAAAAATTAGAAAAGCAAATGCCATTTTGGCTTTATTGTAAAGGTACTGGAGTGCAGGAATAATTAATTAAGGTTCTGCTGAAACCAGATCTGCAGTTCTGAGTCTAGTTTTGGTTTACACATTTCAGAAAGAGCATACTCGCATTGGAGATGGTAGGCAAAGGTTTGCTAAATTGGTTCTTGGAATGTCGGGGGTTGTCCTATGAACATGTGAAATTGGAGCAGAGGTGGAGCAGTCAGCCTCTTGAGCCTGCTGTAACATTTAGTAAGATCATACGATCTATAATTCAAATTCATCTAAGAGATCATCGTTCTCTGTACGGATTCTGCCAAACTTTGAGTTTCTGCAGCAATTTCTGTTCCCTTATTTTATTTCGATAAAATCATGACTGATCTGTATTTCGAATTCCCTGATAACCCGTGACTCCTGTCCCTAACAAGAATTTATCCACCTGTCTTAAGAATATTCAATGGCCACACCTTCACTTCCTTCAGAAGCAGTTGGTTGTAAATTTGGACAAGATTGAGATTTTTATTTTCTCACCTTTGTCCTGAAAGGCAACCCCTAATATTAAACAGTACCCACTAGTTCTGGGCTCACCCAAAGGAGGAAACATCCTTTCCATGTCCACCTTGTTATTCAGGATCTGATACCCTTTAATCAGGTTATCCTTTACTTTTCTAAATTCCAGTTGAAAAAGGTAAAATTGCCATAATCTTACCAGACCACAGGCTGTTCTCCCATTAGAGAGAGACAGCTGGTGGCAGTTTAACCTGAGGGTCACTGTGCCTCAGGCAAGGGGAGAGGCTGAGAAGCAGAGTCCTTCATGGTAACTTTAGCCAGTGTGGGAATTGAACTGTCACTGTTGGCCTCACTCTGTATCACAAACCAACTTGCCAGCCATCTGAGCTGATTGACCCACTCCAGTGGAAACAAGCCCAGTCTGTCCAACCTTCCCTCATAAAACAACCCACTCGGTCCAGATAACAATCTGGTGAATGTTCTCCTGAACCAAATCCAATGCATTTGCATCCTTTCCTTAGAGAAGGAGACCAAAACTGCACATAGTATTCGCGATGTGGTTACTCCAATAACCTGGGGAACTAAAGTATAAGATTTCACTTTTAAATATAGTTTTTCTTATAATGAAGGTGAGCTCCCCATTAGGCACTTTGATTAGGTATTGAACCTGCACGTTCACTTTTTATGATTTATGCACCAGAACAGCTTGAACCAAATGCAGCTCAAAATTCATTACCTATCCTATGATGAGAAGCTGAGAAAATGAATTGGTATTCTCTGGAATTCAAAAGAATGAGTGACAATTTCATATACATATATGATATTCTGAGGGGGTTTGATAGGATAGATGCCGAGACACAAGCAGACTCAAAAACATAGGTCACAGTCTCTGGATAAGGCACTGAGATGAGAAATTACTTCATTCGAAGTGTTCTGAAGTTTTGGAATTCTCTACCGCAGAGGCGATGGTTGCTCTATTGTTCAATACATCTAAAGCTGGGATAGAGAGATGTTTTTGATAGATACGGCAGGGAGCCTGGGAGGAAAGAGGAGTTAAACACCAAGACCAGCCATGATCTCATTGAATGGCAGGGTAGACATGATTGGCTGAAGGATTTAGTCCGGCCCTGTTTTTTTTTGTTTTGGGTTGTGTTCTTTGTTAATGGGAGAGTAACTTCTGAGGTTTTATTGTTTGCACTTTCGGAATATGCTCGAAGTATGATATGTTATGAAATTGTTCGAATTGTGATGTGGTTCATGTGTCATAGAGTCATACAGGTCTACAGCACAGAAAATGGCCTTGGGCCCATCGCTTCTGTGTTGGTCCAAAAACAACCACCTAATTATTCAAAGATAGTAGGAACTGCAGATGCTGGAGAATCTGAGATAACAAGGTGTAGAGCTGGATGAACACAGCAGGCCAAGCAGCATCAGAGGAGCAGGAAGGCTGACGTTTTGGGCCTAGACTCTTCTTGTTATCTAAATACATCTTTATTATTATGATGGTTTCTTCCTCTACCACCCTTACTGGCAGTGAATTCCAGATGCTCACTACCCTATGGGTGAAGAAAACTTTCCTCACATCCCTTTTTAATCTTCTGCCCCTTACCTAAAATCTTTGCCCCTGGTCATTGATCCGTCTACCAAAAGGGAAGAATTTCTTTCAGCCTACCCTACCTATGCCGTTCATAATTTATAATAATAATGCCCTTCATAATAAAGCATTGGATTTGGTTCAGGAGAACATTCACCAGACAATTATGTCCCTCCCCCGCCAAGTCTCCTCTGCTCCAAGGAAACCCCAGTCTGTCCAATCTCTGTTCATAACTAAAATCTGAAACTCTTCAGCCCAGGCCACTTTCTCATAAATCTCCACTGTACCCTTTCCAGTGGTTGGATATTGTACTGAGTGTAAGACATCACTGTTCACTGTGCTGGCAGTATCATTGCTGTGTGTTTGACACACAAGATATGGTCTGTACCTTTCATTCTTTTTTTGTTGTTGTTGGCAGAAATTCTGAAAAGATTATTGGATACCTGAATTCCAAAGTTCTGAGCCATGATCTGATTCCACCCCATATCAACTTCTCACATCTGACAGCTTCTGATTATTCTGAGATGTACAGTGTCATAAAGACAGTAAAGGAAAATCATTTCAGTGAACTTGGGCTGGACACATGTCAACTGGAGGATGAGCTGGATAAGGTGAGACATGAATGTCCGTTAGTGGAAATTTGAATCAATGAGTCAATTGTGGATAAATAGTGAGGTAAAGAGGCAGAATTAATCTTTGAAATGAACAGATATTGGTATTTCATTTTGTTGGTTTTAATTTCTTTGATGGGAAATGTTAAGATTATGCGAATTGTACAATTATCTATAGTTTCCACCAATATCGCGAATTCTAATGGAATGTGAAGGGAACTTTTTATCTTTTGTACGTTTATAATTTTAAACAATAGATAATAAAAATAAATTGTTGCAGTTAATTTAAATGGTGGAAGAACTTGCAAATTGAAAATGATAAATTAATTCACCTTGTTTATTTACTGAAGCCAGATTGGCTGTTCAGTTAGTGCTTATAATTTAACAGTCGTCACAGACACTCAGAAATCAAAATTGTGAACAGTCTTAATTTCAACAAGAACAATCAGCTAAATTGTTTCATTGATTAAGTTTCAGTGGATGGAGTGCCACTGTTGTGAAAGAAGTTTGAAAGGTTACCCAAGACCCCATCCAGTATTTTTTTTTTAACTAACCTGTGGAATATGAGCGTCTCTGGCTGAGCCAGCATTTATTGTCAGTCCCCAGTTGCCCTTGAGAAGGTGGTGATGAACTGCCTTCTTGAACCACTATAGTCAACCTGCTATAGGTTGACCCACAATGCCCTTAGGGAGGGAAATCCAGGATTTTGACCCAGTGACAGTGAAGGAATGGCGATGTATTTCCAAGTCAGGACGGTGAGTGGCTTGGAGGGAACTTGGAGGTGGCGGTGTTCCCATGTATCTGTGGCCCTTGTCCTTCTAGATAGAAGTGGTCATGGTTTGGAAGTTGTCTAAGGAGCCTGAATGAATTTCTGAGGTGCATTTTATAGATGATATACACCGCTGCTGCAGAGCGTCGGTGGTAGAGGAAGTGGGTGCTTGTGGATGTAGTGTCAATCAAGTGGGCTCTTGGTCTTGAATGGTGTCAACCTTCTTGAGTGTTATTAGAGCTGCACCCATCCAGGCAAATAGGGAGTATTCGATCACACTCCTGACTTGTGTCTTGTAGGTGGTGGATAGGTTTTAGGGAGTCAGGAGGTGAGTTACTCACCACGATCTTCCTAACCTCTGACCTGCTCTTGTAGCCACTGTGTTTATGTGGTGGGTCCAGCTGAGTTTCTGGTCAATAGTAACCTCCAGGATGTTGATAGTGGGGATTCAGTGATGGTATCAGCATTGAATTTCAAGAGACAGTGGTTAGGATTGTCTCTTATTGGAGATGGTCATAGCCTGGCATTTGTCTGTACAAATGTTACTTGCTACTTGTCAGCCCAAGCCTGGATATTGTCCAGACCTTGTTGCATTTAAACATGGACTGCTTCAGTATCTGAGGAGTCATGAATGGTGCTGAACATTGTGATCATTGGTGAAGATCCCCACTTCTGACCTTATGATAGAGGCAAGGTCACTGATGAAGCAGCTGATGATATTTTGGCCTAGGAAACCAGCCTGAGGAACTCCTGCAGAGACGTCCTCGAGCTGAGACGACTTGTTTCCAACAACCACAACCATCTTCTTTATATGGCAGTAATTCAGCCCTTTTGTCCATGTTTGAACCAAGGCTGTAATGAGGTCAGGAGCTGAGTGGCCCCGGGCGGAACCCAAACTGGGCGTCACTGAGCAGGTTATTGCTGAGCAGGTGCTGCTTGATAGCACTGTTAGTGACACCTTCCATCACTTTACTGATGGTCGAGAGGAGACTGATGGGGCAGTAATTGGTTGGGTTGGCTTTGTCCTGCTTTGCATAGTGGTGATGGTGGGATGATGGAGAGGGAGCAAGGTGACATCGATACCCCAATATTTTAACAGCGGCTATTTCAAAACCACTGCAGAGAGTTCTCTACTGACACAATGTGCAAGGACCTCTGAGCCCATTAATAAAAGATGTTACTCCTCCACATCACATCAGGGCAGAATCCATTCTCTTGCCCCTAGTACTCTCATTTGGATTGAAATTAAACAACAAGGAGTTCTGTTTTTTATCTTTCTCCCTTTGCCAGTCACTAAAGAGAGGAATAGATGTATTTTAGCCTTATTTTTATTTTCAATTCTAACATAAAATTAAATTTTATTAATCAGAAGTCATTACAGGATTTATGAAGCTGGTGAGGCCTCTTCTTAGTCCCTAGCCCAACCCTTCCTGAGCTGTTATTTGTATCCATGACAATTGACTGAGACTAAATCATACTGTTTGCAACTTCGTGTCATATTTAACTCCCAGGATTTGCTTCCAGCCGCATATCTGAGCCATCACTGTGATTGCCTATCGACATCGCCTAACTTTCTACCCAGTATCTACTCACCTGCTACTGGGCTCCTCATTTGTGTCTCTGTTAATTTTAAACTTGACTATTTCAAAACCTTTTTGGCTGATTTGCCATATTTTACCCTCCATAAACGTGAGGTCATTTAAAATTGTGCTGCTGTGTTTTAGCTTGCACCAAGTTGCATTCACCTGACATCCCTGCGCTCACTAAACTGTCCTTTTCCCAAATTATGCTATGGTCCAGTCCCTCCCCAACTCTGTAACTACCTCTAGTCTCTCTTTACTCTGAGATATCTGCATTCCTCCAGTTTTGGTCTGTTCAGTTTCTCTGAGGTCAGGGCTGCTCAGCTCCTGATCTCATAACAGCCTTGATTCCTTTGACTGCCTGCGTCCTAAACTCTGGAATTCTGTCTCTCCACTTCCCTAATCTCTTGCTCCTCCGTTAGGACATTGCTTAAAACCTTCCTTTTTGCAGAAGCCTTTGAACCTCATCCCTACTATCTCCTTGTTCAGCTCATTATTAACACCTTTCATATAATACTCTTGTGAAACACCTATGTGATGTTTTATTACATTCAAAGCAGCATATTCATGCAGGTTGTTGTTAATGGACCTATTTTTAGTCTTAAGAGCTCCAACAAGTTACCAATCTTAAAAATATCAAGAAATAACTTTTAGTATATTTGTAAACCTTTTTTCTAAATGCTGCTAGTTTTGCTGGCTCGTTAAAGATTTTCTATTCAATATCCAAAAGAGTTTGAGTGAGAATGAGGCAAAAATTGTCACTTTGAAAATGAGCATTGTCGGTGCACAACGCACAACGTTGGCAAAGATTTTTAATCCAGTGTTTTATAGATAGCACTCTGATAGCAATGTATCATTTGATACTTGGCTGCAGTTTATTCTGTCATGATTATTCGAATTCTGCCATTAATTTGATCTTTCTGATCTCTTGCAGTCAGTACAGGGCACAGGCCTTGCCTTTATTGCCTTCACAGAGGCAATGACCCATTTCCCAGCCTCCCCTTTCTGGTCTGTGCTCTTCTTCCTGATGCTCATTAACCTGGGATTGGGCAGCATGATGGGAACCATGGAAGGCATCATCTCACCAATTGTTGACACATTTAAAATTCGCAAAGAGTTCTTGACAAGTAAGAGTCTGGTATAAAACTGCTTTGCTTTCTGGGACTTTGTCAATTATCTGCAGGAGCAAAGATTAATTGTCCAGAAATTAGAATTTCAACTGATTCAACTTCTGTTTCAGGCTTATGTTTTGAACTGACTTGCTGGGATCCTTACTAATGATGGTGATGTGCCCATGGTCCGTCTCATCCTCTTCTCAGTCAGAAGTGCTACCAATTGAATCATGACTGGCACAAGAGTAAAGTTCCATCAACACTGTCCCATTAAAATAACACAATAAGAAGTAAGAGCAGGAGTAGGTCATACAGCATGCTTCTATCCACAGTGATATGCTTCACCGTTTGGTATGATCATGGATGATCTTGGGCTTCTCCTCCACTTAACCTCCTACTCCTTGTGTCCTTTATTCCCTGATAAATCAAAACCTGTCTACCTCAGTCTAAAATATAATTAGTGATGGAGCAACCAGAACCCTCTGGTGTACAGGATATTAAAGTTTCACAATCATTTGAGTGAAGAAACTTGCATTGAAACATAGAAGATAGGAGCAGGAATAGGCTGTTCCACACCTCAAGCCTGCTCCATCATTCATTATGATCATGGCTGACCATTAAGCACAATGCCCTATACCCACCCTCCCCATATGTTGATGTCTTTATCCCTAAGAGCTGTATCTTACTCCTCCTTGAAAACACAATATTTTGGCTTCAGCTATTTTCTGTGTAGTGAATTCCACAGGCTCCCCATTCTCTGGGTGAAGTAATTTCTCCTTATCTTCTTCCTAAAAGGTTTACCCTGTATCCTTAAACTACAACCCCTGATTCTGGACTTCCCCACCTATGGGAACATCCTTCCTGCATATGACCTGTCGAGTCCTGTTAAAATTTTAAATTTTCTATGAGGTCCCTCTCCCGTCATTGTTCTAAACCACAGTGAATACTATCCTAGCTTTCTCAATCTCTCCTTATATATCAGTTCTGACATCCCAGGAATCAATTTGGTAAACCTTCACTGTACTTCCTCAACAGCAAGAACATTCTTCCTCCAATAAGGAGACCAAACCTGCACACAATATTCTAGATGTGGCGTCAACAAACTCCTAAATACTTGTAGCAAGATATCCTTGTTCTTGTATTTGAATCCTCTCGCTATGGAGGTCAACATACTGTTTACCTTCTTTACTGCCTGCTGCAGCTGCACATTTACTTTCAGCAACTGGTACGTAAGAACACTCAGGTCTCATTGAACATTCCCCTTCTCAATTTACAATTCAGATAATAATCTGCCTTTTTTTGCTGCCAAAGTAAATAACTTCACACTCATCCACATTACACTGCATCTGTCATGCATTTGCGCACTCACTCAGCCTGTCCAAATCACACTATGACATCTCTGCATCCTCCTCACGGCTCACCCTCCCACCTAGCTTTGTGCCATCTGCAAATGTTGAGATGTTATATTTATTTCTCTCATCTAAATCATGACTATATATTATGAATAGCTGGGGTCCTAGTACTGATCTCTACTGTACCTCACTGGTCACTGCCACATTCACCCCCACCAACATCACCTCTCAATCCATGCAATGGAGTGCTTGAGACTTCATATTACATCTGAGTGGTGGGCTGAGAGAGGTGGCATTAAAATAAAAAACCTTAGTAAATATAGACTTTCACGGGCCTGAACTCTCTACGCTTCTGAAGCTATTTGCAAAAAGTGCTTCTGTTTATGTCAGTTATGCAATGGATATTTGTGATCCATTTTAACTTCTCCTCCTGATGCCTGTGATTAAATTACTCTTTTCCTACAGTTGGCTGCACAATCATCGCTTTTTCAGTTGGACTTATATTCGTTCAACGTTCTGGGAACTATTTTGTCACAATGTTCGATGACTATTCCGCTACATTACCCCTCACAATTGTGGTCATTTTGGAAAATATCTCTGTTTCCTGGATCTATGGGACAAAAAAGTAAGTCTTCTCAAATCCTCAGGTATACATTTCGTGAAGCTGAGAGCAAAGACAAATCCAAAGTTTGTGTCTATCTGTTTGATGCCATAATCCCTATTAAACCCTCACTGTGACTGCTCCAGTCTGCTGGCCATTGCGTAACACTCATATCTGCTTCCTTCAGACCAAGGGAGATAAGAAGGAATCCGCTCAACCCTCCAGCCTGATCCACCACTTTAAGAAAGAATCTCCCTCAGTACATTATTTATGATGCCCAAGATCCCGCATGCTTCTTTCAATATGTCCTGCCACCTTGAAAAATCATGACAGATGCATCCCTGTATACTTTTTAGAACTGGGTCATTACCTCTATGTTGATTCTCCCCAGCCCTTCTGCCAAAATGCATTACCACACACTTCTCTGTATTAAATTTTATCTTCTGGCCTACCTCTGTCCTGTTGCAGTCAATTGTTATCAACTTCACAGTTAACTGCACCTCAAAGTTTGGTGTCATCAGCAAATTGTGAAATTTTACTCTGTGTATCAGAATCTAAGACAGTTATATTCCTGGATGGAAGGTGTTCATGAAAATAAGGAACTGAAGAGAGGGAAGGCAGTATTAATTAAGCAGAATATTGCAGAGCTGAAAAGATAGGTTATCCCAGAGGGGTCAAGGACAGAACCTATTTGGTGAGGACTAAGAAAACCCTTTACTCAGAATAGTTTGTAGACCACCAATCAGTGATGTAGAGAAACAAATTTACAATAACATTGAGATGCAAGAATTATAGAGTGGTTATAATGAGGGTTTTTAATTGTTTAAAAATAGTTTGGGATAGCAGTCATGCAAAGAGTGATGAGGTACAAAGGTTTCTAGGGTCTGTTCAGGACAGTTTTCCGCAGCGGTATGTTACTAATCCAATGAGGAAGGAGGCATTGCTAGACCTGGTTCTTGGGAATGAGGTGCACCAAGTAGATTCAGTGTCAG